CGATCAAGGAATGTTTATGCTAAATTTCAGCAAATTCTGATGTGCGGTTTTTTTTTGTAGTCTAAAACCGATTTCTGTATTTTGTATCGTGTGCATGGGAGCGATGTTGCCCCCTTAAGGTCGTTTGAAATGCTTTTAATAGGCGCGAAACTTTAAACATTTTTCACCAAGTTATTATTGAGTTTTAGGGAATAATATTTTAGTCTAAGAGCCAGTGAATTTTTTTCCGTAAAAAGTTGCCGATGGACAATTTCTTGCTTAAACGATGTAGTATTATGCCCCGTGATCGAAAACCATAGTCTGGCAGCATGTAGTGGGGAAGTTTGGCGTAGGCGTAATTAATTAATCATTAAAAAATTCATGAAATTCGAAATACTTGCCGATGGTCGTTTTTTGCGGCATATCATTCAATTATGTTTCATTAACAAGACTGTAATAATGCCAGACGGTTTTCGCGGGTTTAAAGCCTTGCCAGACGCTCTCAAAGTACAAAAAAAAAGAAAAAAATCGAAATACTTGCCGAAACCTGTTTTTTTTTAAATTAAAGAAAAAAAAATTGCAAATAGAACGCACCTAGTGCAAGACGGTTTTGACGAGGATTATTCCTTGCCAGACGGCGTGAAAGGCCGGTATTTTACGACGCGTCTGTGAAGCGGGCACACACATATGCCGCGCCTAGGAGGTGAAAGTACGCCGTGACCACAGGTTGGGGTTCCCGAACGAGAGTGAGTGAGAGGTAAAGACAAGCCGTAAGTGAGACAGAAGCGTGCGTAATATCATTGTTAATATTCACGCGTGGCAAGTAAACATCTTGAATGCCAATTTTAATGCAATAGAATGAAATGTTCAGAAAAAGTCTAAGGTTAAATAGAGAACGAAAACGATTTCCCCTGTTCCACCTCCAGCAAAAAGAACTGGAATTTGGAACGATATTTCGTATCGGTTCAAAAACAAACGCACGCGTAATAGGTTAGGAAAGTTGACAGATTGTTGTTTATGTTTATACTTTGTGTTATGTCAAAAAAAAATCCTAGGTTATGTATGGTTAATAAGGGATTCTTCTGGTTTGAAAACCTCATTTTTTCTCGAATGAAAGTGATGACGTCATTTTTAAACAGGTTCAAAACAGATTTTAAAAACATTTCGAACTGCTGGGGTCCAGAAAAAACACTTTTTTAAAATGCATAATCATAATAAGAACAATTCAGTTGAGGACTGCGACTGACGTCACAAGCAATCACGTGCGTTATGGGATTCGGCGATCCTATTAGAGTCTAAGATCCTTGACTCGACTGACACATGACACATTGTCGCAGTCGGGAAAAATCGAGAAAATTTGTTCGATTTGAACGTTTGTAAATGCGAGTTGTATTTTTCGTGTAAACCATGGCTACAAATACTCGAATTTGTTTTTTGTGTGATAAAAAAAATGACAAAATAGTGCTCTTCACAAACGATAAATTAGTAAAATGTCGAGAAGTGTTAAAAGTGCGAATAAAAATCAAGTTTAAGTACAGCGACGTGCAATTACCCAGTAGAAGTGAATGCAACACATGGATACCACGCTCTGTGTTATAGAACATTCACAGCGGTAGCTACAAAATATTTCACCCAACAAATGTGCTCAACCGACAGCGCCTCTTCAACGCTATCTGCGCAGAAAAAATCAATCCATATATTGATGTCGCCTACAGCATCAACATCCGACATTGCTTCCTGTAACATACCTGATTATGGTGTTGTCTCCATGTCACCGATGTCGTTGAATACTATCGAGTTTTCTGAGAAGCCTACCGATGCATCAACATCAACAATATCAAATGTCTCGATCTCACAAAAATCAGCAATTAACCCTGAACTATCTCACGCTTCATCATCAACGTCGGCTGGTACATGACCGTCTGTTCAAACTATTATTTTGGATTTATCAATTGTTAATAGCGGAAAGTTATGTATATTTTGCAATAAAAATTTAAAGAAAGTGAATGGAGTTATACAGAAATTGATAGCTGTAAGTACGGAACAGATTGTTGGGACTTTGCAACAACGTGCCTTAGATCTAGATGATCAAGGTCTGTTAAATAGACTTCAAGACAAAAATTTGGTATATCATGTAGTCTGTGAACGAACGTACAAGTCCAATCACAGAACTGTGAAAGAAAAAGGTAATATGAATTGGCATAAAACTCGAGAAATTCGTCAGTTAGCCCGCGAAAAGATATATTCATTACTAGAGGACTCCGTTGTGATGAACAGTCGCTCATTTTTGTTATCTTCATTGTGCAACATGTACAATAGCAATGTGAAAAAACTATGCGCAGATCAATCCGTAACGTTCAGCCATGAAGTCGAGCCGCGTCACTTTGAAACTTCAGTTTTAACACCACTAATCAAGGACAGAAAAATCAAAATAATTATGAAGAACAGAAAAAAAGTCATTGTACCCTATGATGGATTTATACTTGGGGATGAAGAATTTGCTAATTTGGCTAAATACACAAGATTTGTTACAAAGAGCAGCAATTATTTTACGCGAACGAATATTGATCATTCAAAGAAAAAAGTTACCGAAGAAGTTGTATGCTAAAGATTTAATTGCTGGTGAGTGTGATATTCCTGATGAGCTTGAGGATTTTTTCCAAACGTTGCTAGCGGGTCCAGGGGAAAAGCGTCGTAAAACTGGCGCGGATTGCTTGCGAAAATCAAAATCTTTTGCAGAAGACATCATCTATGCAGTCCACAATGGCAAAATAAAGACTGCAAAGCACATCACACTGGGAATGACAATAAAAAGTCTAACAAATAGTCGCAAAGTTATTAACATTTTGAATCGTTACGGTCATATTTGCAGCTATAATACGCTCGAAGAATTCGAAACGGAAGTTACTATTACCTCAGTTGAACGCTCCAAGATTTGTCCTGATGACATTATACTGTCTCCACATCTATGTACAGGTGTTGCATTCAATAACTTTGATCGATTTGTGGACACACGCACCGGAAAGGATACTCTCCACGACACCGTCGGCATAATATATCAAAATATCGATCAGCAAAATAACGACAGCGACGTTGAATTAGGCATTGAGAGCGAACCAAGATACGAATTAGGTGACAAGCGAAGAAGAACTCTTGATGCGGTAACTGCTGAGCTGGAGCCATATGTCAAAAAACCGCGAATGACTGACCGCTGGCAGCCAATGACTGATGATCGCCATTCCTTAGTACCTATAGTTGAACAAGATACTGCGAAACGCTTAGACTACATTTGGATGCTCTCACACGCCGCAGAAATCCCTGAAACCCCAATGTGGGTGGGCTTTAATAGCAATATATTTGGGGATAACAGTTTACAGCAAAGAATTTCGTATCTGACGCCGATTAATTTATCACCAACGGAGCTTGCTGTTGTATTGGAGACCATGTCACAAAGCCAAAAAATTGCCGCGGAGTGTCAGCAAACGTATATACAAGTTACATATGACTTAGCCATTGCTAAATGCGCTCTCGAAATACAAGTCACGGAAAAACCAAGATTTGATAATCTCATCATTCATTTGGGACGCTTTCACATCATGATGGCGTACTTCAACAAAGCCATTGGCAAATTTATCGATGAATGTGGTCTCTCCTATATTATGGTAACAAGCAACATATTGGCAAGCGGCTCAATCAATGGATTTATTTCTGGCAAACATTTTAATCGATGCAAGCGTTTACATCCGCAAATGGCGTTGGCATTCCAAATTTTACACTATAGAGCGTTTCTAGCACGAGAAAATATTGAAATTGGTGAGGAAGTGAAAGTGGAACTTCAGAACTACCAAAAAAAAAAAAAATGGAAGATGAGGATTCTGTTACTGCTCAATTGCTGAAAAAATACAAAGATTATGAAGAAGCCACAACGATCGGAGTGTACGGAAAAACTGCACAATTTTATTTAACCTATGTCCAGCTCGTTTCGTATTATTTAATGTTGTCGCGAAGTATTCGTTCTGGAAATTTCGGTTTGTATGTGTCAACTTTGCCAAAACTCGCCAATTTGTTTTTCATTTTCAACCAACCTAATTACGCTCGATGGCTGGTGAAATACCACGATAACTTGCTACAAATAGACGAAACACATCCAGGGTTGAGAACTGACTTCGAGAATGGTTACTTTGGTATCAAACGAACACAAAAGCCATTTTCAAGGCAACCAGTAGACATCACACTTGAACAAACAGTTAATGCTGATGCTGGAAAACGATTGGCAGGTATTGCGCATTTTTCAGACTCCATTGGTGCTCGTCAACGTTGGGCAAGGAGTCACGGCATTCGTACTTCAATTATATCCTACACTTGTGACCAAGCTGGATTGCAAAAAATCCAAGATATCTCTGCGGATCTCGAGCCACGACGAATATCCCTTAGCTCTCAACAACTTCGTGATTTTATAACAGTGCTCGAGAACAATATGAATCCATTCCAATCTGAGTTTGACACTAATTCGTTATACAACATCGCCACAGGAAAGGCAGCCTCTCGTCCCGTCACAGATTTTCTATTAGACGTCCAAAAAAATGGCGAACAACAACGTGAAACTTTCGTCAACGAGTGTGCTGTGGATGGTGCAAGATTTGGCCGCGCATTGAAACGTAATAAAATCTTAAATTTTGCGTCGATGGCTGAAAAAAAAAGTGTTAAAGTCGCTGGAAAAGTGCATGAGTTGCAGATGCAGCGTGATTTATTTGGTCGAATGATTGGTTTATCAATGCAGCAGAAAATAGACATTGCAAAAATTTTGTCCTACCCACTAATGCCTGTTCCTTTGTCATTTGGACGGAAAAATTTGCAAGACTAATAAGTCAGTGTTAATAAAACTTTTGGAAGACAAAATTACACAGCCCGTTAAATCGCCATTAGAATATGATGTTGTCATCATCGATGGATTTTTTTAAATTCATATAATAAGAGATATTCCGAAAACTTTTGGAAAAATTTCCCTGAAAATTTTGCAAATGATAACACGATATAAAGCGAAAAGGATCGACATAATATTCGATAGATACTTCTCCTCATCAATTAAAGAGATTGAGAGATCTCGCAGAGACGAATTCTCAACGACTGAATACATTATTGCAGGTCCAGATCAAGCGAGAGGCGTGGAATTTTCAAGGGAGATGAGCAATATCAAGTTTAAGGAGGCATTAGTTAAATTCTTGAGTATGCATTGGAGTAGTACAGAGGCAACACCGTTCATTGGAAACAAAATCATCAATTTAAACTTCGATTTATGCTATCGATTTGAGGTGATCAATGGAGAAGTGGTGAAAACAACTGATGATCAACTGATATGTGAAGGACATGAAGAGGCTGACACCAAAATTGTGTACCACATCTGCAAGCTAGATACGGGCTCTCGGATACTTATAAAAGCCAATGACACTGACATCCTCATAATCATGCTGGGCAACATGAAACACATTAAAAGTGAGACACATATTTGGATGCAATGTGGTACTGGGAATAATATACGTGACATTGACATCACGACATTGTATTCGATTCTCGGAGAGTCAGTATCGCAGGCTCTTCCAGGATTGCATGCCTTTACAGGCTGCGATTATAATCCGGCGTTTTTTCGCAAGGGCAAAAATAGGCCGTTCAAATTGTTACTGACATCTGATGAATACCAGAGAGCGTTCATTCAATTAGGCACTTTGATGTCGTCCTCTGAAAGAAGTGCAGTCTTTCAAACCCTGGAACGATTTGTCTGCCACATGTATAGTGTCGAGCATGTAAAGGAAGTGAACGCTGCAAGGTATGATTTTTTTTTGAAAGCCTTTCATACTCCAGAAAAAAATGAAAACTTTTACGTAAAATGCAAAAGTTTTGACGCAACATGCATACCACCCTGTAGGAGCGAACTCAAACAACATCTACGGAGGTCGCACTATATCAGCATTTTATGGCGATATGCACACATGCAATATCCCACGAGTTTACTTCCGGTTGGACTTGGCTGGATTCAGTTCAGAATAAGGATTTATTAGACTTTTGCTGGTTTGAGGGTGAGCAACTTCCTCAATTGATCTCCGACGTTATCATTACTGAAGGCATTGAAGGTAAACGTACTTACCTTTTTTAATTTTTGAATCTAGATAAGTAACAAATTTATTTTTCAGACGAACTCGTCGACGATCCGACAAAGGAAATAGAAGACGATAAGGAAATTCACCGCGATTCAGATGGCGATGAAGATGACGAAGAAGATGAGATCATAAATGCTGATGAATCCAGTGATTTTTGAGTCAAATAAAAAAAATAATTTTTTCTCTTTTCCAATAAATTATTAAATAGTGGTAATACAGCCAATTATTATTGTATTCAGAAAAACTCTTTTTCGTGTAAAAACTTTCGCAATAGTTATTCTTTTTTCACATTTCAATAAAATTAAAAATGGATAATTTACCTATATTTAATTTTATCTCATTGTTCACTATTCACCAATTAATTAAAAGAAATGAAATATACACGGCTGGCAAGTAAACATCTTACATGCCAATTTTAATGCGATAGAATGAAATATCTAGAGAAAGTCTAAGGTTGAATAGAGAACGAAAACGATTTCCCCTGTTTCACCTCTAGCATTTCCAGCTCTTTTTGCTGGAGGTGGAACAGGGGAAATCGTTTTCGTTCTCTATTTAACCTTAGACTTTTTCTGAACATTTCATTCTATTGCATTAAAATTGGCATGCAAGATGTTTACTTGCCACGCGTGAATATTAACAATGATATTATACGCACGCTTCTGTCTCACTTACGGCTTGTCTTTACCTCTTACTCACTCTCGTTCGGGAACCCCAACCTGTGGTCACGGCGTACTTTCACCTCCTAGGCGCGGCATATGTGTGTGCCCGCTTCACAGACGCGTAAAATACCGGCCTTTCACGTCGTCTGGCAAGGAATAATCCTCGTCAAAACCGTCTTGCACTAGGTGCGTTCTATTTGCAATTCTTTTTTCTTTAATTTAAAAAAAAAACCAGGTTTCGGCAAGTATTTCGATTTTTTTCTTTTTTTTGGTACTTTGAGAGCGTCTGGCAAGGCTTTAAATCCGCGAAAACCGTCTGGCATTATTACAGTCTTGTTAATGGAACATAATTGAATGATATGCCGCAAAAAACGACCATCGGCAAGTATTTCGAACTTCATGAATTTTTTAATGACTAATTAATTACGCCTACGCCAAACTTCCCCACTACATGCTGCCAGACTATGGTTTTCGATCACGGGGCATAATACTACATCGTTTAAGCAAGAAATTGTCCATCGGCAACTTTTTACGCGAAAAATTCACTGGCTCTTAGACTATAAGTGAAATATCATTGTAGAAAAAACACGCTGGCGGCCATGTTTTTCAAAATGGCGACTTTAGCTCACATGCGATTTTTTGGGACTTTTGGATTTTCATTCTACACTAAAAGAACTATCGATTACCGTTTTAAAATAACTATTCGGAAACACTTCACTCAAAAATTGAGATTTGCCTGGTGTATTACCCTATTATTTCATAAATGTAGAAATAGTATGAGCGGTATTTAACAAGTTTCATATGCTTACTAATTATGGAGTTGGTAATAAATGAAAAAATAAAAAAAATCATAATAACTTTATTTAAAAAAAAAAGAAATACAATGGTTATAACTATGTAAAGGCATCTCAGGTCTCTTTCATAGGAACAGAGACCAGTTTTTTCCAATTCGAAAAATTAATCTCCACAAACATATAATACAAATAATAAATACAGCTTTTAAGGCTTCAAGAGACAACAACTTAACAAAATGAAAAAAAAGTTTGAGCCATCATATAAAACACAAGTATTACTTTATATGCCGCACCGGCATCGTACCTAAGCTTCCTCCGCCACCGCCACTCTTCCAACTGTTTGCATTTTTACTCTTCCAGCCACTACTACCAGCTTTGCCTTTAGCAGGCGATTTCTTTTTTTTGGTCGCCACTCTTCTCCTTTTGAATCCGCCCTTTTTACCTCTCCATCCACCACCCCCACTTTTACGTTTCACTCCTTTCAGTGAATTGCCTGTTTCATAAAAATCATCATCCTCTGCTTCAGAGAAGCCTTGACTTGTCGCCGTTTCTAATTCAGTGGAATTTTTTAGTTTAGTAAGCGGTTGAATCGCGTCATGTTGCAATCGAAATTTTTGGGTAATTTTTAAGAAAAATTCTCCATATTTGTTGTAATTTGCCACAGTTACATGTTGGATTTTTAACATTTCTTCTTTGGTTTGCGGCAAATTATCGCTCATTGTTTTTATGGCTGTTAAGTTCATCACTGAAGAAAGGGTCAAGTTGCGTTCCATGGCCAAACGTCTACATTCTTCTAAAAGTTCTTCTTGACAAGAAACTTTTAGTTGGGACAGCTGTAGTTTTCTTACAGCCTGAAGTTTAGCTGTATTTGATTTCTGTATAGTGTGTCGCACTATTTCTTTGGAAGTAGATGCAGTACTATTATCGGAGGTCCAGCCATTATTAGCTAAATTTTTAGGAGAATGGTCTTCAGTAGGTCCCTTAATGTTTCTACTAGGTCTTGTTTTATGAACAGATATAGTAAGACGATAATTCGAATTTTTGAATTGGGAAAACTTTGGGCCAGTCTTTATGTAAACTACAGGGAAATCACCAGTATATTTGCAAATATCATCTAAAATGTGTTTCAAGATTAATTCTTTGAGGACGCGTTGTACGTCGTTTCGGTCCATTGTGGCGCCAGCGCCATAGAAACGATGCTGATTATGACGACGATCCAAGATTTTCTTTATTTTTGCTCCCCTAAGAAAAAGTAAGCAAAAAATTATTATAATTTATAATATAAACCGAAAGAAAGCGTACCTATAAATGTCAGCTACATGCAACATAGTAACATTTTCCTTGATTGATAGATCCTTAACAATATCGCACAATTCTTTGGCTTCTTTTGTCACATCTAAAGTCTCATATTTGTTAACATTTTCGCAATTATCACAAGTCGTGCCTTTATTACTGATACATATACGTCTGTCGAAATGTTCGCCTAAATGAATGAGCAACAAATATCTGCGACAATCCACCATATTTTCCGAAAAACTGGCCATTTGCTTTAAATTTTCTTTGTGCGCCTCCAGCGTTTTTCTATTGTTACAATCCATTTGAATCAATCTAAAAAAACGATTTTTCTAACTCAAACCTACTTGATAAAAAAACAGTACGTACTTTAGAAGTCGTCCAACATCTCCATAATGATAAAACAAATAAGAATAGGAAATTTCGCCATCTCGGCCTGCTCTGCCGCTTTCCTGATAGAAAGCTTCCACTGATTTTGGTATAGAATTGTGAATAACAAAACGTACGTCTGGTTTGTCGATACCCATACCAAAGGCTATTGTGGCTACAATTACATGAAATCTATCTTGCATCCATTCTCTTTGAATGGCTTCACGAACCTTTAAATATTTTTATTAATTATTTCATCAAATTATGTATATACAATAGCAAAAAAAGTGAAACACTTATAGGTTTTGGGAAAAATAGAAATTAAACATTGTAATTACAGTTATAACTAATATCAAGGCCTTAACCTTAACATATTTTAGATTTTTTATTATTCAACTAGCTTATTAAGTTTATAGAGAGTCTTTTTACATTTGCAGTATTTGTTATTTGTTCAGGCAGTAAGTTGTAGGCTTGGATGCTTCAAAACACTGGGGAGTCCAGTGCTTTCTTAGTCATGGCATAGTCATTTCAAAAATTTTGGTTCTTCCTTAGTCCTTATATTACTTTTTGAGTTTGATTCTAGGACATTGTGGTTAACATTGTATATAAATTTAGTTTGTTCTAGAATTTTGATTTTCTGGATATTCAATATTTTGGTTTGCAGTGTGTCCAAGATCAGGATGGGATAGCATTATGATTAGGATCTGGGGAACGGTTGGAGTCACAATGTTGGTTAGATCATAGCCGTTTTCTCGCGGCCACTTTTTTGACATTGGTTTGAAACATTTTTTGAAACGGCAATGGTGTTACCATTGCCCGTTTCAAACCTGTTTTGAAAAAAGTGGACGCGAGAAAACGGCTCAGAAAAATGTTGTGCAATTTGTAGAACTTTTACATAAGGTTTGTAGGATTGGGTTTTCTTTTTCCGATTCGATTCTTTTTGAAAGATACCTATTAATGTAATAGACTGGGATTTCAACCGCTAGAAATTATGTCAGTGCTGAGTTCAAAAAATTAAAATTTAGCGTACAGTCATCTGCTAGGCATATGGAAAATGGGAAATTTAATTTTCCTATTCCAGAAAAAAATAGGTTGGTTATTTTTTCAATTTCTTTTTCATGGCATTTTAACACATTAACATTATAGAACAATTTAATAGTGAAAAAGTAAAGCCATAAAGTTTGCACGTACTGAAAGAGTTGAAATAAGGGCGCGATCTTCTGAAAGAATACTCGGTTGCTGATCGTTTTCTCGCTTATGGCAATCGACACAATTAGATTTGATATCGTTAGAAACCAGAAAAAAAAAATCCCATAAGCCGGTCAAGTGTTGAGATATATTTTACGGCCGCTGCAAAAGGAAAGTAAATTTCCCATATGCCTAGCAGACGTCCGGTCGCTAAATTTCAATTTTTTGAGCTCAGCACTGACATAATTTTCAGTGGTTGAAATCCCCGAAGAGAGAAAATCGGTCAGCAAAATCTATCATTAGCTGACAGTCTATAACAAGTTGTAAAATGAGCGAGTTTTTTGCACTAAATGTGAAGATTGTTCCAATTTCAATACTCATTGTTAAATCACTATGAATTCTTTCTGCATGCAAATCGTCACTTATCTGAAAATTATCGACTGCCATGCCTGGCTACAAAATCGGAACAGTGGATCTTGGAAAACCAAGATGCAAATTCTTTCAAACACTGCAGCTTGAATTATTGTTACTTTAGATCAGCAACGGTATAATGGAACATGTCTATATGGATATAGGTTGCAGGTTGCAGTCTCACTGAATTATATTTATCAAAAAGGCAACATTATACATCAGTAATTCAGGAAACAAGTGAAATAAAAAACACTATAGACGTAAAGTCCGTCGATTTTAATCTGATACTCCAAAGGAATGTGATCTGGTGGCTCCCCTACATCAGAACGCCAATGGTCCCCTGACGTTACACCTGTTTTTGCCATAAGCTTCACCCCCTCGCTCCTCATACGGAAAGTGTCAGAATAAAAACGACGGACAATAGGTACTCCGGAGAACACTACTAGGATCTTTACGGTACCTACTACATATACAGGGTGTATATTTTAGGTGATACCACTATGGCTATATGCGAAACGGTGAGACCTACAATAAGGTCGGTTAAATTAGAAAAAAGTTGCCTTTTTTGACGCCTATTTAAGACTCTTTTACAGTGTTGCCGAATTCCTTTTAGTTTATTAAATACAGGTTCATAACTTGGGCCGAATTAAGGTAAGATTTTGGTAAAAATCACTTTTTATCACTTTTTGGAGCAGAAACGTCGGTCAATCATACTCAAGAGTCATATCATTAGAAAGGGAATAAAAAGCGCTTTCTCAAAATGACATAAAAAATCCAGGTCCGTATTTAAAAAAATAAAGTTGATGATGGTAGCTCGATCCCAAAACGTCTGATTCAAATTTTGAAGATGCCATGTTGTAGAGCGAAAAAAATTAAAAAACCATCAAATTCAAATTGTGTCTCCAAAATCAATAGTTTTCGAAATAATTCATCATATTAGTTAGGTTAGAATCGCAAATTGGCGCGGGTTCCTAGTTCAAAAATTAATACATTGATGTCTTATGGGGACTCAATTTTAAAAGCGTCTGTAGACGTGATACAACGTTTGTTAGGGAAGTGAGTTGTATAAATAGATTTTTGAATATGTTATTTAACTGAGAGAGTGTTTGAAACTTGAATAAACATTGTTAAAATAAAAATATTACCAATTTAAGAAGCCGATGTTTGTATAAAATACGTATGTCGTTGCTTAATCCATAAGCATATATACCGATAATTATAATAAAATAAAAGTGTACCTACATACTTGGTTAGTAGATGTACTTCAATAATCCAAAAAAATGGAAAAAACAAATGACTGAACTAGTGATAAATAAATAAATTAACAATTCACCAACAATCATAACTCATTGATCATAACTGTGGCCGGTTTGCGGCGGGCAAATAAGGCGCACTGATCAACTTAATTAATCTACTGTTTATTTATGCCAAATACAAAAATAAAACATCGGTAAAAATGAAAAAATAGAAATTGTTCGGGCGTGTTGTTTTTATTATTTTGAGCGGGCGTCGGACTTGTGTCAATCATCAGCTGGCCGGGACTCGGAGACAGTTGACGTTCCTACCGCTGGTGTACCGCGTTGCCGCTCCATTTGCATGGTTGCCAACGGATCTGGGGCGGACATCCGCCACAGGGCTCCCCCCCAGTGAGGGACCCGCTGGTTGCGAACGGTTCTGTTGGCACGTGTTGAGGAGCAGGCGGTTGGCATATGCATGTTCTTCTAACACCTGATGAGACGCTGGAACGTATGCTGGTTTGAGTCGGTCCATCGAGACTCGCTGCGGGGCATTCTGGACGTCCACTGTCAAGAATTTCTCGTGACGTTCCAGTACTCTGAACGGGCCACTGTAGGGGGCTGTTAGCGGTGGCTTGACTTTGTCGGTACGTATGAATACATGCGTTGCTGTCGACAAGTCTGGGTGGATATAGGCTGTGCGGGTTGAGTGGTTGCTTGTTGGTACTGGCCGTAATGCCCCCATAATTTCACGAAGTCGTTGGACAAATCGATGTTCGTCGGGTGCGACAGCACTCGGAGCTAGCAGTTGTCCAGGAAGGCGAACTGGTGTACCATACACCAACTCAGAAGCTGTACAAGAAATGTCCTGCTTGAAGGTATTGCGTAGGCTTAACATGACCAGGGGGAGGGCTTCGGTCCAGGATACCACGTCGGTGGCGATGAGGGCGGCTTTGAGGGTTCGGTGGAACCGTTCAATACACCCATTTGATTGTGGGTGGTAGGCAGTCGTCTTGATGTGCTGCACCCCAAGCGTTGTGTTGAGCTGGCGGAACAACTGGCTCTCAAATTGTCGGCCTCGGTCGGTGGTTATGGTTGCTGGCACACCAAAACGGGATATCCATATTTCGAGGAGTTTTTCTACCACTACTTCGGCAGTCATTTCCAGGATAGGGATGGCCTCGGGCCACCTTGTAAATCTGTCGATAATGGTGAGTAGGTATCGGAAGTTGTGGCTTGGTGGGAGTGGTCCTACTATGTCGATGTGTATGTGGGCAAAACGGTCATCGGGCATTCCTAGTGGTGCTACAGGAGTGACTGTGTGGCGTCCTACCTTGGCACGTTGGCATTGGATGCACTCTCGTGACCATTCCTTAACTTGGCGGTTCATGTTGTGCCACACAAATCGGTCTGCGATCAGTCGGAGTGTAGCAGCATGCCCTGGGTGCGACTGGTTGTGGAGTTTGCGGAAAACGTCCCTCTGAAAACCGGCTGGTACATACACCCTAAGGCGCCCATCTTGAACTGAACAGTAGAGAGGTCGTTCGGTGTCTGATGTGATGATGCGTTGGAGGTGTAGGGAGCTGGCAGGATCATGTAGGATCTGTTGTAGGCTCTCGTCTGTAGTTTGGGCTTCAGCGAGCCTGTCAAAGTCGATGGTTATAGGCGCTGCGAGGGCGTCTACCTCAGGTCGCGAGAGACAATCAGCGACAATGTTTGCTGCACCTTGGACGTGTCGGATGTCGGTGGAAAATTGGCCAATAAATTCGAGCTGCCGAATTTGTCGTGGGGACTGGCGGTCGTGACGCTGCTGGAAGGCGTATGTCAAAGGCTTATGGTCAGTGTAGATTGTGAACTGAGTGCCCTCGAGAAAATGGCGGAAATGGTGGATGCCACTGAATATGGCCAACAGCTCAAGGTCGTAGGTACTGTAATTTCGCTGTGTTACGGATAGCTTTTGTGAGAAAAAGGCTATGGGTTGTAGGTGTTCGTCGACCAGTTGTTGCAGTACACCACCAATTGCGGTGTCGGAGGCGTCGACTGACATGCTTAACTGGGCCTGTGGTGCTGGGAAGACCAACTCTGCAGCGGTGGCCAAGAGTTCTTTAACTCTGGAGAAGGCAGCTGCTGCTGCTGGGGTCAAGCTGAGGTCTTGTTGCTTTTTTTTCTGATGGGCCAATAGCTCGGTTAGTGGCATGAGCTCGGTTGCAGCGCTTGGTAACCAGCGTCGGTAAAAATTGACCATTCCCATGAAGCGGCGTAGCTGTTTGTACGTTGTGGGTTGTGGAAAGTCTCGGATGGCACTGACTTTAGCCGGCAAAGGTCTGACACCAGTCGGAGAGACAATGACGCCCAGAAAATGGGCTTCACGGGTCCGGAATTTAGATTTCTCCAGG